TGTGTGTGTGTGTGTGTGTGTGTGTGTGTGTGTGTGTGTGTGTGTGTGTGTGTGTGTGTGTGTGTGTGTGTGTGTGTGTGTGTGTGTGTGTGTGTGTGTGTGTGTGTGTGTGTGTGTGTGTGTGTGTGTGTGTGTGTGAATTCAAATATCCCCATTTTTACCAGTTGCAACATTACAGTGATGCCACATTAAAGCAACAATTATTAGTGATACTATAATTTAATATTTTGGATTCTAAAAGTATGTTTTGATGTTTATACTTTAGAGTAGGATTTTGAATGCAGGACTTTTAATTTAGTATGTGTACCTTTGTAGTATTGCCACCGTTACTAAAGTAATTATCTGATTACTTCTTCTACCCCTGCTTATTCTCTAATATGAATACAGTAATGTGTTGTCTTTAAGATGTCAACTATGATTCATGTTATCTTTCAGTCGTGCTCAAAACAAACTATTTTCTCTTCATTGAGAAATGTTGAAACCAACTTGTTTTCCCACTTCTCCTTCAGAAAGGTTCATTCCACCTCTGTCAGGAGTCAGCTAATTATTTGTGTGATATTTCCATCTCCCCTTTAGATCAGTGATATGCTTCACGGTAGATTTCAAAGTGTTCAGTGATTAGCTCCGCTGTGGCATTTAGTCTGCTCCTGTCAGGCAGCTAGGACTCAAAAAGCTGCCCCTGTGAAACAGAAGCCGTATAAATAATTGACAAAACCAGTCTATCATTATCTTTGGATAAATTAGACATAATTTAATCTTTTTTTTGTATTAAATGTTTAAAAAAAGCTGAAAACAATGAACCATTTGTGGCATTTTCCATCCAGATAACAATGAGTTGAGTTGATCTAGGATGTTTATGAAAGCTTTTTCCCAACGCTGCAATGTGATAACACAATCCCTGTATTGTTATCAAGTTTGGGCATTTAATTGGTGAGGTGATTAGCCGTTCGATTAGAACACATGACCGAAGCACACGGGCAAAATGCGACAAAGCGGGGTTTAGTCGGTAATCCCTTCCCTTTCCAATGCACTCTGTCAAATATGGTCTTTCATTCAGTGGAATGCTAATCAGCCTCAGTCCCTGGTGCTGAAGGAACAAGCTCAGCTGATTGAGAGTGGATTAAGCCAGGATGGGCCCACTAAATGATCCCTAAACTGTGTGAGTACGTTGTGAGGGGAGGAGAACTCATGAATTGTTTCATCATCACCATGTGCAGGGCAGCATTGACGTGATTGACATATTGTTTCGGTGTTGATGTGAAGAGTCTACTTAGGACATTATTTACCACTCTAACATGTGTTTGGCCTTTGGAACCCACCTACGTTTCCGGTACTTCTGAATGAAGAGAATTTGGAAAAGTTCAAGAGCTTGAAAATTGCCACCATATTGGTATTCATTGCAGTGAACTGCTTTGTAAGGCTTGGTCAGTAGTTCTCAAAGTGCACGGTGCAGAGGCATGACATGAGAATGGTGATTTTTCCAAAAAGGCTAATGACAGAAAACATTTGGGAACCACTGGGCTATGTGCAGAGGTGTGTGCCAAGTATGCAGCTCTGCTTTTAGAAGACATGTGTTGGGTTAGGGTTAGAGCTGGGGTTGGGCAGCAGTATGGCTAGCCAATTGCAGCACCACCTGAAACAAAATGGTCTCCTTTATTCTTCTATGTGTGTGCAAATTAAGCAAAGGAGATATTTTGTGGGCTTGAACTTTGGACAGAGCCAGATCAGCCGGTCCACCCATTTTCATCCTTAATGCTAAGCTAAGCTAATCTTCTGCTGGCTCTTGCTTTATATGCGTGTGGTGTTATTGGGTTTGGTTCATAAAACACTGCAAGAATGTGAATGAACATGTTTTCCAGCAATGTTGGACTGTGGGTTGGTTGGTCGTCCAAGTTTTTTCAAAGCCATGGTTAACACATGAATTGGATGAGATTGGCTTATTTGATTGAATAAAGTTCTTATTGTGTTTTCCACTTCCTCTGACTGGTGTATCAGTGAAACTGTGTGTGTTTATCCACATGTCTGAAAGTATTTGAACAACATAGTTTCAGAAGGAGAATTCGAGGCATGAAGCCAAACCTGTCCGACAGTGATTACATAACGCATTTCATCACTCAGTCAGTCCCAGGCATGAAACACTCTACACACATACACACACGACACAGAGACAATACGTACCTCTGTTGATTTAGACATGAGAACCGTGCCGCTCTCCGTCTTCTATAATTCATCTTTTGTTGATCGTCCCTTTCTTCCTGCCAAGCGTCTGGAGCGCTTCCACTCACTCGGTTTGTTCATCAGCCGAAGCCTTACGTAACCCGAAATACACCCAGAGATGGGAGTGGGGCGAGAGGAAATCGGGGTATAAATAGGTTTGTTTTTCTCCAGAAATGCACAAAGAAACCCTGCTAACCTCTTTTTTTTTCATTTTGTCATGTTTGTGTGAGTTCTGCGGTAGAGCGATGATAGAAAACTCTCCTTTGAGAATCCATAGCCGGGTGCTTTTGATCAGAAGTTCTATCAGTTTCTCATCAATAAATCAGCTTAGATCAAAACCAGTTTCCTCACATGCTGTATTTATTATCAGCCCATATCCATGCAAGTCCCATTCCTCTACATTTCCTGAGTAAGTTTGTTTTTGCACCTGTACCGTAAAGCTGTTCACTGGGCAGTCAGCCTGTTTCTCCTGCACCTCTGCGTCGTCCTGTCCTACTTCCTTCTTCCCTTTCTGAAGTTATGGTGAAGTTAATGTACCAAGGTGACTGTTGTGCGTCAGCCGGCGGGCATTAGCAGGCACCCCTCGTAGCGAGCAGCCACGAATAGATGTGTCTGTCAACCTTAAGTGTACCCTCGTATCGCCCCTGACTTATGCTCATTTTTCTGTTTCTTTCTAACCAGCTACATCTCCTTACTTTTCTACTCCCACGCTGTCAAATATTCAACCGATAACGACCTGTAAACACAGTGCTGCCTTTTATCTGAACTCCTGCTGAAAAAAGGCTGCATTTTAGTAATTGCAACGTATTTGATCCTTCCCCTTCTCCTCAATCATCCCTCAATCTTATTGCCTTCTTACGTGCTTAAAGGGCTACACACAGTATCGGAAAAAAATGACATTGCAATCGTTTTTCCTGCAATGTATTTCTATATAAGGAATTAGCCCTATATGACAATGTTTTGCTCAACGTCATCATTTACGTAGCCGAAAGATTCTGATGGTCTAGGACTAGCGGCGTCTGCTTTCGTTGTTTGATACATTTATCAAGAATGATTGTGATTGGTGGTTAGTCTATGCAAGCAGAGCGTTCATATAACAAGCAACTCTCTGTATCTAAAAACCCTTGGATCACAATAAACCATGTTCTTTCAGAGGGACTCCTCCTTCATATTATTCATGGGAAAGTGTTTGTCTTTTAACAAGCATCAAAAAGATTGTTTGATTTAGTTCATTTGCCCTGACACATGCACATCGCTATATCGTGGCTGAAACATGGGTGCTTCTGACTGTGCTGCCTGAAACTTGCAATTTCAAAGTAAGAAAAGACAGTAAAAGAACTAAGAGTACTGGGTCTTGCCTGAGACGCCGCAGTAGTGAAAAGGCACCTTTTGAGGGGGAGGTTGAGTAACTCCAGAGACACACAGAGACAGTAAAACCTATTGTATATTTACTTGTTAACAAGGGTTCACGCTGCTTGTTGTGTTCGCTGCAGACACACTCCACTGCCTGTGAGCTGACCCATGCTTTGTTATCCGTCATAAAAAAGGAGCGATTTAGATGTAGTGCTTTGTGTGTTTGTGTGTTTCTGGGATAATTGCGTGCTGGTTGAGCCTTTTCTCCAAGTTTCCCTTTATCACCCAAAACCGGATCAAACAAGAAGAAATGGCACATCTCATGTTGCTGACTGTTGAATCTGCACTTACCAAAAGACATTGAAACACTTTGTTCACTGGTTTTCATTTTAGCTTCTTCTGTTTTCACAGTAGAATATTTACTTATCATTTTCATTAGTGTAGCTAAAACCCAAAGAATAAAGTTAGACCATTTAGTTTCTGCTCTAGTCAGAGACGATAAGAACATTACTTGTGCCTTTCCTGGCCAAAATAATTGCAATTGCGATATGATCCCGATAAAAATATAATTATCTCTAAAACTCTTTAAATTGCACTAAAACATACTGGAATGGCTTTACCTTACATCTTGTTAAGAACAAAATATACTTCTGGCACCACACGTCTCTTTTAGTGTATATAATATTTAGTAAAAAACAATTCAAAAGTCTTAAATAAGGTAATCATTACTGTAGGTCCCACTGCAAAAAAACATGTATAATGTGTTCTTTCTCACATGATAACTCAAGTATTTCTTAAAAAAAGGCTCTATTTTTTATTTAAGTAAGTCATCTGAAAATATTCAAGATTATTCCGATACTATAAATCTACCACAGTCAACTTATTGTGAGTTTTATCTATTTTCGTACAATAAATTCCTATATCTAACCCCACGTCTGTTGGATATGCTGGCTATATACCACCAGAACTTAGAGAGAACATATTTTATTTATAACTTAGGTGACCATCCCCTTTTATAAAAAGCAATTAGCAGGAACAGTGAGCCGCAGTTCAGAGAGTGTGAGAGAGACGGAAGGAAACAGTGATGGGTCCAGGTCTACTGCTGAGAGGAGGGGAGTCAGCAGCCAAAACCAGGGTCTATTTGAATAGAGACAGCCCCCCCTTATACACAAACACAAACACCACAACACTAATACACACAAGCCCTCCCAGTGACTTGTCCTCCATCGCCCCAGTCCCTTCCATGAGCTTGAAACAAATCCCTGCTGCACTCCTCTTGCTCCTGGTTGGCTCATCTGACGGTGTGTGTGTGTTCGTGCCCCAGTAAAGAGTGGCGCTCCGTCATTCTAGCTCATATCACTGTTTGTATCGGTATCTTGTCTGCCTTTTGACTAACCAAACGTGCTGTTTTTTCTCTCCCCCCTTTCCAGTCCATCATGGAGCAGTTCAACCCCTGCTTACGGAACTTCATAGCCATGGGGAAGAGCTACGAGAAGGCGCTGACCAGTGAGTACACCAACCGTTTCTGGTTTTCTCTCCGTCTCCGTCCTTCTTTCATTCCTCCTGTCTGTCCCGTATAGTCCAGGCAGAGGGCCAGCCGACCCGACACTTGGTGCTGCTTTTATTTCCTCTTTGATTTCTCTTTAGTAGAGATGTGTGATGACGACACAGTATCTTTCTAGTGACTTCTGCATCAACCCAGAATCCTTAACTTGACCAAATGCAGAAACTCCTAGAATATGAGTCCCAAACAACGACACTCTGGGGTTGATATCCTCAGATAGTACCCGTGTGATGATGTCCACATGTCTTCCTCCTTCCGCCGGTTTGTTGGTCTTAAACGTCCGCCTCTACTGTACGTCCCTTGTCTTCTTTTTTTGGACAGGTTTGCATGGTTGTGTGTGTGTGTGTGTGAGAGCCACAGAAAAACTCAGGTGTTCTTTCAGCAGTGGCTCAAGGTTACAGAAGGAAAAAAAGCACTGGAAATGTCTTGGGGGAGCTAAGTGGAGCATAAGCCAATGGGGAAGTGGAACAGGAGGAGTTGCGAGAGTAACGGTACCCCCAGTGGGGCCGAGGAAACGGGAACAAGCCGGTATCGAGGACAAAAATGTAGTGGCGGAAAGAAAAGGTTGAGCAAAAATATTCCAAAACGTGAAGAGAAACTGATAAATAAGTAGCCTTTAGCAGCTTATTCCTGTTTACTGACTTTGATTGGAATCAGCAAAGATTAAGATATGTCATGCTCCCGGTTTTCGCTCAAGATAAGACAAGCCTCCAAGCATGTTGAGCTCATTTATCGATAACGAAGCTTCCTTCTGCAGGGAGGATGAGGATGGTATCATACAGTGTTTTCAGTGGTGGTGCTCTGTATTCTGTGTGCGGTGTGGAGCAGTGCAGGGCTCTCCCTCATGTGCTCGGAGGGGAAGACTCAGCAGCACACAAGACCAATAAAGGAGGCCTCACTCCAGTCTGATAGATAAGGCTATAAATAGAACTGCGACTCCCTCAGTGGGGATTACACTTCATCAATGCCAGGCAGCAGCACAGAGGCACAATATAGACTAGGGCAGAGTATCTATTGTCACTGGAGGAATGCCAGTTCAGCCTCTGGTTTTCACAAGCCCTGGGGTTTTCATCCCTTGAGACTGTGCAGACAAGCAGTATTGAGGCAGTAAGTTGTTGTGGTTTGTTTTCTTTGTTTGAGTTGAAAATAATTGGGCCATAATTGGACTCAATGTGGGGAGTGTGGTTAAGGCTTTACTGGAATTCAGTCTTTATTCAAATCTGCATTTGCTGGCTGTGAAATATTGCAAACTCACCCGGGAGAAGTAAAGTGAGTCTCAGCACTGATTTGATCGTTATGAGGTCAGAAGATATCTAGTCTTGGTTAAAACTGCATTACATTTAACACAACCCATTTTATTTACTATGAGAGCGATCTAGATGCATGCAACGACATTTAAATGATTATATTTGTATCAAGGGGGACAACTAACGATAAAGAAAATTGTGGATAATCTGCCAACTTCTTCTTCAACTAGTCTATTGATGATTTACAGTTACGTGTGCCAATTAGCTTGCTTGCTTGTTTGTAAAGCTCAAAACCAACCCAAAAAGATATTTAGTTAACAATAGTATCAATCTGATCTTCATATTTGAGACTAACTAGACACTAAGTAACCTCTCTGAAACACTGTTGAAACAACTGTTACATGTCATGTAATGAGTGCTATAATACTTTGAACACAGTTATAACCTAGATGTCTTTTGAACTGCAAAGCATCAAATCCATTCTGACTGGTAGGGATTGTGAGAGGATATGATATAACACTGTGGAAGAACCTCAGCTGACTTCTTTCTTGTTTCTGTTTCATTCACACTGACACTCTCCGCTCTGTATGGGCTTTATATCCCTGTTCTAATCCTCCTTACAGGCGGAACCCTTCCTTCCTTCCTTCCCTTCCTTCCTTTCTTCTCCTTCCTACCTCACTTTGTCACGTCTCAACTGGCAGACAAGCTAAGAATCTCCTGAAGCGTACCCGGCCTCACCTGGCCTGCTCTCCTCCCGCTTGGGGATTTCTCCGACATCGATTCAATTAGTCGCGCTCACCCAGCCGTTTTAACCTCACTTCCATCCCTACTATTGTACTCTTTTATCCCAACTAGGCTCACTAAAGCCAGGTTTAGGAGAAGCTAGACAGAGGTCTTGGCTCTTCTCTGTCATAGTTAACCCAGGAGGGATGGATCGCTGTGTAGGGATTTACTGGTTTGGTCAAAGAATTGGAAGTTATATCAGAAGATGTCTCGTGTTTGTCTTATTGAAGATTCATTTGATTATGTTTACAGACTGAGCAGCCAGGCATTGTTTTAATTTCCAGAACAATAACTTGAATAGCAGTGGGCTTCTCTTATTGTCTCCATGGGCTCGTCATGAAGTAAACCTCAACTCAGAATAGACTTCCATTGTTTCCCATATGAATATGTAAATACATTGTCATTGTCCCCCCACTCTGGGGGATTCTGCATCAGTGTCCTGCGGCAGCTCAAAGCACATCGACATGACGGCTCTGTAATAAACTCAGCCCTCATCCATATGTATCTCCCACTCGGACATGTTTCATGTGTCAGTCGCTGTGTGGCTAACCCTGAGCTGCTTTATTTATTTAACCGTGGCTGTTGGAAAGGCCTGAGTCACCGCTATGTCTCAGCCAGTGTCCCTGGCTTGTGTGACAATGCACCGCAGAGAATAATGGATGACGTATAGAATTTGACTTGGCTGTGGAAGGTGCGTTACGACTGCTTACGTTTCAGAAGGTAGTTGTTAAGATGGTGCTGTTTAGGATTTTATAAGATTCAGTTCAACCAAATACCTGCATACTTGGTGTTATCTAGCCATGCACATAGTATGTGAATGTTTCAAAGAGCACAAAACATCAGTAGGCGTTTGAAATATTTAGAATTTTAGAAATCCCAATATAGTATAACTATTTAGTTCTATTCAGACCTAATACACTGGCTTTTAACCAGCTTTCAAACTCATGAATTTGTGACTCAAACTTGACTTTCTTTATTATATTTCATTGTCTCACCCTTAACTTAATTTGACTGGTCCCAAACAGAGATCATATTAACTAGACAATGGCTTTTAGGGATGTGTTTCCCAGATTTGACCACAATGTCAAATGTCTTGTATGTGGCTCTTTTTTAAACATTTTAAAAGAGGTAGTTTAACACTTTATATATTAGATTAATTTGCCTTTGGATTGGCCAATTCCACATCATGGAATCAAAGTAAACTTATCCTTGGGATGGCAGCTTTTAAGATGAATTAGAACTAGAAACCGATTGCATGGCTATATACCATTATGATAAAGTACAAACAGTTTTTTGCTGCAATTAAAAGAAACTGATTAAAAAGGGGTTGACCTCAAAGTGGTTGTTGCTACAGACCGTTTTTAATGTTTTATAACTGGTTGTTCTTGAGATTAGTGTCTCAGCTGTATCTCTGTTTCCTGTAGTTGCCTCCATAGAGCTTTTTCTTTTCCTGCCTGGTCTCCATTTCCGCCTGTCGCTCTTTTTTTCCCCATGCCCAACCTTACCTCTCTGTGGGGGGGTGGGCTTTAGGGGAGGGTTGCAGGAGCTGAAGAAGATACATTTCAACTCCGCCCCCTTGATCTGATGCCCAATGCTTCCATGTTTCCAGGTGTCACATTTGCTGCAAAGGGCTACTTCGACGCTCTGGTGCGGATGGGCGAGATGGCCAGCGAAAGTCAAGGCTCTAAGGATCTTGGTGAGTCCTAGTAGTGGCTGTAGCACCCCTGGTGGGGTAGAGGGGGGTTGCACAAGCAGATGGTGAATGGGATGGCTCGTGCTGTTGAGCAGAAGCAGCTGATGACCAACCTGAAACCGGACACACACACACACACACACAGCGCCATTCTTCACATAACTCGATCATTACGATACTTTAAATGATAAAAATAGAACATTAATCTGCTTTTACTTTAATGTGGAGCTTATTCATACAATTAAGCATGTTCTAATTTAAGAGGAATTGATTCAGCATGTTTGTCACAGCATTCCCATTTGGTTAATCTCTTGTTTCCCTACCATTCAGGAAAGATAAAGGCTCTCCAGTTGTTTTCTTTTATGTTCCAGCGCCAATGATAAATTCACAAATGTGTCTGGCATAAAATATTCAAAACAAATCACATGCCAATGTGGATTAGCTCTCGTTCCTTAAAAAACCTTTGATATATTTATAGTCTTCCAGTTCGTCAACAACATGTCGCTCAGATCTCTCGCAGTGTGTTGCCTGGTTTCAGTTGGATCAGCCCTGGTTCTGCTCATTATAGGCTCATCTATAGTTATACATTGCATAGGCGGTAATGGAGAGCCCTTTTCTAGCAGATACACAGGTAGGAACATCTGTAGGAAGCAAGGCAGGTGTCTATATTATTGTCGCGCATTGTGCAAAGTCGAGTCAGAGTCACAGTCACACGGCGAGGAGTGTGTCGAGTCCGCGTTGCCGCTGGATCACTGATTCCCTTTTGTTTTTTGATGGGACCTAAGATAGCAGACGTGAACATATGAGGGAGAGATGGTGAAAGGATGGGAAAAGAGGGACATCTGACGGAGAGGGTATAAAAGCTGCATTCATTATTCATGGGGAAACCTTTATGGGTGCTCCCTCACATTTATCCTCAAGCCTCATCATTTCATTATTCCTCCCCGTGTCTTTTTGAGTAAATACTCAGCCACTTTAATTTCAATTAATAGAAGCTCATTACTATCGCTTTTACGATCATCAATGTTTGAGAAATCTACTCTCTGCTTTAATACAGCAGTTTTGTTGAGGCCTATGACTCATGGTAAACACTCAATTATTCAAAACAACCAAAGAGTGTAAATACAAACCCTTTGAATAGCAAGGCCGTTATTTTTGTCTCTGAACATCTGTTAAGTAAAAACCACTTTGTGTTCTGGAGTTGTCTTCAACTATAAAACCTCCATCATAAAGTGTTCTGGGACAATTTGTTGCATAAAGTACTGTGTTTTACATGTAAGGCACTGATATGCTTTTTAAATGTCTCTGCATCACGACGACTCATTTAAAAATGCATAAGGGAAAGTTTGACTTGGTGTGTGACGTTCCCAACAGGATATCTGTACATCCCCATTTCCATCAGCTTGGTTGCTTCGCTGTCATTCATTTCATGCTTTCTTTGTGCTTTTATAGTCTTTTACTTGTATATATATTGTGGTTGCCTGTTTCATGTTCTTTTGTTCCTTTCTCTTTCTGGAAGCCTAACCATGACTCAGAGAAATCAGCAGGGATCAGAGCTGGTCTGTGCAGACTCAAAGGGGAATTGTTCGGACAAAGCAGTGTATTTCAGCACTTGTGCTAAGCCTTACAGCCTTTGTGCATTACCATAGAAATAGGCTTGTTACCAGGCATAATGCAAAGAGAGTAAATAATGTAGTTCAAGGAGGATTCTCCAATTGTAACTTTAGATTGAACATAATCTGCTTTTGTTTCCAGTATTTGTTTATTGTTAACATAATGTGATAGTGGGGTCTCCAACACATTCAAATCTAACACAAGAGCTTATTTCTGAAGCCATTTATTTAGCAGGAAAGACATTTTTCCTAGTGACTTAATAAATACGCCTCCAAAATATATATTTGTAATTGTCAAAGCCATGTCAACTTGTTTTCACAAAATACTTCAACATTGCTCTTTTTACTGTGTTTGAAAGTTTGTAGAAAACTGCACAAATCAACCTGATCAACATATTTGTATGTTTATTTCAATTGGTGCCTTTAGTGCTCATTTGTTGTATTTCAGCAGAATACTAAGAGAACACTAAAAGCAGCAGAACTGAGAATACATTATTTTCCGTTTATTATTGTTCTATTAAACAATGTAATAGCATGTTTTATCTCATGTCGTGATGAAAGCATCTATTTCCGCCTTTACTGACATCTTTTTTGGGAGGCAGGAATAATAATGGAAAGACAAACAGTAACACAGCTTAATTAAATACAGCTAAATAAACACCAAAGATAGATTGGTAGGAAGAGAGGAATGATAAGAGATATGTTCACTAACATTTCCCTCATTAGGCAGATTCATTGATCTATCATGAAGTAATCAGCCTTCCTGTTGATATATTACAATGTGAGGTGGCAGTGGTATTAATACTCAGCCTATTTGTACGTAAGAAAACACATTGAGCACCATTGATGTGGAATCAATGAATAGAAAAGAAAGCCTGCTAGCTAATGAATTAGCTGATAACAAGGATTGTGGTTGTGTGTGTATACAAGTATGTGTGTGTTGGTTTTCATTTCTTCAGCCAACACATGTCTGTTACTGTGACCAGAGCTCAGAGCCACAGAGCCACAGATAAGAGTGTGTGTGTGTGTGTGTGTGTGTGTGTTTGTCAGGGATAATCACTCACACAGGGCTTTACCTCGCGCTTCATAATTGATGAGGACTGAAGGCAGATTTGTAAAATCGTCCAGCTTGTAATTGCGCATTTTAATTGGGTTTTGTTAGGGGGAAAGTGTGTGGGCGCGACGCTGCCGAGTGAACATGGTCGGACTTTAAACTGCTTGATCTCTCCGAGGTGGCGGAGCCGTTCTGCCAGAATCCCTCTGCCTGTACTCTCTGTAACAGTGTAATTAATTAGAGCTTCATTAAGATGAACAGCATTAGCACATGGACAGAGGATGTGGAACTGCATATGACAGAGCCAAGTCAGGAGAGAGAGCGAGAGCTGGGTTTGAGAAATTGAGCTCGATGGAGAAAGTGGAGAACATCATGTTCTTCAGGGAGGAGAGGCACTGGACTGTTTGATGAATTCATTGACTTCATTAGCATCACTAAACATAGCCAGAACTAATGGATAACTTCATGAACTGGAGAGAAGTTTCAAAACTGTCCTGAAGAAACAAGCACCTATTAAGTAGGCCGTGTATTGGCTAGACTCTGGCAATATGATACATATTAATTGAAGGGGCCCTATTTTGCTTTTTGGGATTATCCCTTTCCTGTAGTGCGTTCTATAGGTTTTGGTGCATGTAAATGGTCTGCAAAGGCTAAAATCTCAAAGTTCCCTCCAGAGGGAGTTTCTCTGCCACAAACTCCCCCCCCCCCTTCCTGAAACGCCTCCATTGGACTCCTTTGTTTACTTTTGTAACATCACTAACACTCACGCTTCAATTGGCTAGAAAATGGGCATAATAGGGCCCCTTTAATAATCAATATTGTTTTTGGCAGTTGATACAGTAGGACAAAAAATAATATCCAAAATGTATAGTAATTTTCTTACACAACGATTTAAAGTCATCTATTATGTATTCCAAAAACATTTGCAATAAAATAATGTCACGAAAAATCCTTCTGTTGGAAGACAAGCTGACAATTTGAAAGAATATAATGCATTTTGTTTATTTATTAACAGATTAAAAAGACATTTTGAAATCAAATTGCATACTAAAACACAGTCAACATGTGGAGGTTTTAACGGCATTAAGGGGTGTGTCAACCTGCCGTAACTTTTTATTTGAACGATCAGTCTATGCATACATGGGTATTGTTTGAATTCCTTGATTTACAATCTTCCTATATGTAAGAATATGCGTTTCTGACCATTAACCAGTTTGGTTATGCTGGTTTACATTTCTTTCATAGAGTTTGAGGTCCTAGCTTAAGGAGACACTGGGGCATAGGGATAATAACGGGATACATTTAAAAATAATTTGAGGTCTACCGAAGAGTTGGAATTTTTTTTTTTGAATCCTATACAAATTGGCACAATAGGAGCGAGGTCCCGAAGTGGACTATTTTCCGTGTGTCATTCCCATTGTCTCCCTCCTGCACTGGTCTTCATTTAAATTCAAACTCTTTTGTTAATACCTAATTGCAATGTTTCATATGAACATGGCAACTGCAAACAATGTTTTTATACGCAGATGTTCGTTGTGCACCCCGGAAGCTTCTGGTGTGTGTGTGATGCTGCGTGTCATTTTCACAGGAACACTGGTAATTTGGTGTGTCACTTTAGGAACAGTAGCAGAGGCAGGGGAACATTTTAATAGTAGATTTCAGCTCCTGACACACACACACACACACACACACACACCAATACACATGATGTAAACTGTACAGCCACACAAGTACACACCCTCACATGTCAGTGTAGGCTGTGCTCGAACTGAGTAATTGGGACTTAAAAAGAACTGTACATGATTATTATCCACTTTTGAAGCCCAAAATAAACCGGCACACATCTTTTGTAGATTCACTTATTTCTGGAGAGCGGTGTTGTTTATCACTCGGCACAGGAAGAGGAAATGATGCCTCTCTGTTTTCATTGGGTTATTCTTAATTTACCCGCCGCCCGGAGAGACGAGATACTACACCACTGCAGTGTTGGAGTGACATCCAACTCATCCTCTCCTCTTACACTACCATGCTCTCAGTGTCTGCGAACGCCCCCTCATTGATGTGGGAGCTCAGGCAGCCCTGGGAGAACACGCCGACTCTGCACTCGTTTCTAAAAATAGATGAAATAAATCGACCAGAGCCGCTTCCAAAGGAGGAGGAGAGAAGGAGTGTGATGCTTTCCATCCGCAGCCCAAAAATGGCTCGTCGGTGATGTCAGTACGGATGAAAACGTCGTCGTCTTTCTTCCGTATACTAAATATGGACACGGTATGAGGAATAAAAAAAATGGAAGGAAGCTCCTGCAGTTCCGGTTCCCCTCTCTGACCATATAAAGG